AGGATATCAAGATGAGTCATTTTCCTAAAGAAACATTCAAAAATTTTGAAGTATGAAGATGTTGTAAAGTCTTGAACTCAGGCTTAAAATGTTGACTTTTTGGTCAAACTTCCTTGAACAAACTTGTAATCCTTGGAACTTTCTTACACATCAAAGCATATTGATGATCAAATAGACTCAAAATGATGTACCCGCGATTGTCCCTTGATAAAGTATGCCATGGCTTTATGAGACTTATTGATGAATACATGGAAATAAACACATGAACCCTTGGAAGTTCCTTGAGAAACAAGTTATCCAACTTGAAATGTTTTTGATCAAAATAGAAATGAATGATGCTTGAAACCTTATGATTTGAGATGAGGGATCATGCTTTGATGGATAGCCTTTGAAAAACAAAGCTTGACTATACTTTGACTTAAGGAATTCAACCTTTAGCTGATGATACATTCACATGATGATCTTGATTCCAAACCCTACATGTAAAAGGAACAAGGCATATTTTTGTATTTTAGTTAGAGGTTAGTAACATACAAAGCATATAAGTATAAAAAAAGGAAGATACAGAAAGAGGTGCTTGATGATGTCTACAAAGATAAATCCATAGATAGGAGGGTTAGAAGACAACCAAGTTTGTGATCTTGATTCATTGTGAAGATACAAATGAGGTGGGATCTTAGAGGTAAAAATTTGGGTATGACACATTTCATTATAAAATCTCACTTATACTCAAAGTACCAGCGTTAGAGAAAAAAGTTTACTGAGAGAACGTATGAACCTTGAAACATCACTTTTATTTTAATGCAAAGCTTTTCATTTCAATTTACAATTTACGCCCAGTTACTTTCATCTTTACTTTAACTGCATTGTCACTTTACATTTGTTTATACCACATTCTTACTTTTTTTCTACTATTGAAGTTACATTCTTACCTTTTCATAATTATTTCGACCAAATCAAAATTTCTTTCATTTCTATCAAAATCATTAAAAAAAAACTTTTAGCACTATGTCTTAGGATTTTCTAGTTGATCTTGCAAGTAACCTTTAATAACAAACTAACGGTTGTTTATCAATTTTTAGTGTAAACACCTGGTACTTGGAGTGATGAGATCAAATGAATAATTGATAAAAGTAACGACAAGGGCTGGAAAGCTAATATCTTAAAGTGTGCTTTTGCAGAAACTATATATGAAACATGGAAGTACAGGAATGTAACTTGTTTTGGGAAAGACACTAGTAAGAGTATGATAGAGTCCAAAATCATATACATTATTGTGTATAGATGTTTGATGAAACCGAAACATAGAAAAGTTTTGGGTAGTCTTATGTTACTTTAGTTGGTTGGTTATATCTTGGTCCCTTACCTCTTAGTTCAGCTAGACCCCCCCCCCCCCCCCCTTTGGGATTGCTTCTTTGTAATCATTTTTTGGTTAATAAAGTATTATTTTTCCGAAAAAAATAAAAATTTTTTCTTCAAATAAAAAAACGACTTTTTTTAAATAAAATAATTCTTGCAAAAAAATGATTTTCAAAAGAAATCAAAACAAATTATAAAATTGATAATGGATATAACTATTTAATAATTGATTTATCACTACAAAAAAATATGGTATTAGCTAGGGGAACAGATTAGGGGGAAAACCCCTCACTAAAAAAAAATCCTCTTGCTTGGGGTTAAACCCCTCGCAAATCACAAAATAGAAAAAATAAAATAAAATAAAAACCACTTCCTAGGGGATACCCTCGCAAACAAGGAGGAAAAATATTTTGAATTTTGAAATAAGGTTTTACTAGGGGTCAACGTAGAGAATGGGTGGGAATTGATGCAGTTTGCGAGGGGTCAACCCCTCACCAATATATGTTGTGCAATTTGTGAGGGGCACCCCCTCACCAGTTGACATACTTTAGTCAAATCCACCTGCAAAAACATTTATTCTGCTGCCAAAGTGTCTGCAACACGTTAAAGCTGGCTAGGGGCAGCCCCTCGCAAAGTTAATTTTCATAGCCTGCGTGGAGCACCCCGTCACAATGTTTGTCTACGTGCCACACATGCAGTCAGTCATTTGACACGTCAATGTGACCGTTGTGATGGCTAAGGACATCCTTTCGCAAATGCACGCATTAAATATAATTGAAATTTCCACTGATATAATAATATCAGTTTTTAACTTACACACTTTCTTCTTCTCTCACCCTTTCTTCTTCACCTTTATCTTCTCTCACCCTTTTTTCTTTCTATTTTTTACTTTCCGCCATTTTTCTTCTCATTCCATGCCATCAAGATTTTATTTTTGATATACTGAAGAACATAATTGTGTGCTCATATTAGGTAAATATTTCGAGTATTTTATATTATTTTTATATTTTGTAATTAAGTTTATTTCTTAAATTTATTAATTAATTTTTTTATATATTTGCTTTGCTGTATGTATACTATTGATAATAAAGCTCTCAAGTTTTATCTAAAAGGAGCTACAAATTTAAAGGAGCATCAAAAGGTACATATTTATTTTTTTCTCAAGACTTTAGATGTAATTGATAATAATATATGTTGATTTTAGTTTGATGCTAGTATAATAAAATATATATTACTTTTTATTTCGAAATTTCTGTACATATTTTTAGTAAATTATTTTTGAAAATATTTTTGTATTTCTTATATATTTCAGATTTATATTATAATATATTTATAATATTTGTTAGAAAAAATTGTAAAAAACTATATGAAAACAGATTATAATAGTTTTATACTATTTAGTATATATTAATAAATAAACAGATTATAAAAACAGATTATATTATAAAAATAATTAGTTTATAATTAGTTTATATTATAAAACAAATTTAAAAAAAAAAATTTAAAATAGATTTGCAATACAAATTATAAAACAGGTTTATTAAAATATTTATAAAACAGATTTATTAAAATATTTATAAAACAGTTTTAAAATTATTATATTATATTTAGTTTATATTATAAAACATATTTTATAAACAGATTTGTAATACAAATTATAAAACAGATTTAAAATTATTATATTATATAGTTTATACTATAAAACAGATTTTAAAACAGATTTTACAAATTATAAAACAGATTTAAGTGACATATACATTATTTATATAAAATATATAATTTTTAATATATACCCTTTTTATTTAGAAACTATACATTTTTATTTAGAAAGTATATATTTTTTAAAATATTAATATAATTTAGTAATATATTTATAAGAAACATATTTTTTATTATATTAAAATATATATTATTTTATTATATAATTATATTATTTTAATTATAATAATATAATTAAATAATATAATTATAAATTTAATAAAAATTTATTATATAATTATATATTATTCTAACTATAATAATATAATTAAATAATATAATTATAAAATTTAATAAAAATTTATTATATAATTATATTATTATTCTAATTATAACAATATAATTAAAATAATATAATTACAAATTATAAAAAATATTATAATCATTAGTTAGGGGTTAAACCCCTCACAATTTTTAAAACGTTGGACAATTTTTTAAGGGCTTTACCGTTCACAAAATTCTGACACAGACAGATAGGGGTTTTACCCCTCACTAAATTCAAAAAGCAGGTAAGTTAGCTAGGGGTTTAACCCCTCGCAAATTATCTGACACGTCTGTGCTCCTCTATGACTCTAGTATGTGTCTATGCCTGCAGCGCAATAACATGAATTTTTTTCATGACATTTTGCGAGTGACTTATCCCCTAGGCAAATTTGCGATGGGTTTATCCCCTAGCCAATAATTTGCAATGGCCTGATTAGCTAGGGGCCTTGTCCCCTCGCAAATTGATGTTTTGTGATGGATTTTTTGTTTTAGTGAAGGGTTTAACCCCTAGTTATATGCAGTTTTTCTTGTAGTGTATAACCATTTTACAAAATTAAAATTTAATTATGACAATTGGTTTTAATAATCAATTATAACATATTAATTATTTATGATTATTGATTGGTTATACAAAATGCGGAATCAGGGAAGTCATGATTTGTATGAAGTTAAATAAAATCATTTGGTGCTCCAAACGTTATCCTTACAATAGTGTGTTTTGAAGAGATCCTAGACATCTAACAGACTAAAAATTTGTTAAGAAAATAAGTCAAATTTGAGACACCAAGTGAAAGTGTAGAAGTTTAACTATTTGTTAGCTAAGAACTAACGATGTTAAATGGAGAGAAAGTGTTTGTCGCTTTGAATTTTAAAAACAAAAAAAAGGAGATTAATTTTAAGTTAATAACTATAATGGTGTTAGTGTTAGTTTTCAACAAGATCTTCATCCTATATATCCTAATAAACTTGAGCTTCGATTGTTTCCCACAAAATTTACCATTCACCAATCTTTGGTGTCAAATGTGTTACAAATTGCCTCATACCTTATTAGCAATTAATATTAGAATCTCATTTTGATGCCAGTGTATCATTTGGACATTGGTGATTAAATCTCCCTAAGATGGCAAATAAAGCATGTTGGTCCTATTTTGACCCGCCATGTTAAATCTCGCAAAAAAGCAAGGTAGGTGAATCTGACAGACCTTAATACTTGGGAAAAAGTCATGCATGCCCGCCTCTGTATAAGCTCTTGCCCACTAAAGCTCGCCAAGAAACAAGATGGAGAGGGTGAAGTAGAGGAGGCAGACCATAAAGCTAGTCTTAACCCGTCAAAAATGAAAGGCTAAACGAATATTCTTCGGTGCCACCCCTAAATCTCACATAGGAATATATTTTGTTCAAATATAACTTCACATTTATTCAAATATCAATTGTTCAAACCTTAACCACCAACCACAACATAAAAACATCAATACATATATATCAAATGGTTAAAAATCAGCCAATACATTTCAAATCAACTGGAGTCCAAATTCTAAAATGTGTCATGATCACTTATTATATTCAAATTCAAAACACATAGCTGATAAAAACCAAAACATAAGATTTGAACCAAGTCATTAGCCATAGCACCTGATGGGATCAGTGCACCCCTTTTCAGCAGACTGACTGAGCCCTTGGCCTCCACCCTTCTCCAAATATTGCTGATGATATTCCTCTGCTCTATAAAACCTCTTTGCTGGAAGTATTTCTGTGACAATTTTGTTCTTCTGTTCCAACTGTTTAGCCTCTTTTGATTCTTGAGCTAAACGAGCTTGGGTTTCATTGTAGTAGTATATCCCTGATCTGTATTGTACACCCACATCACCTCCCTGAAAATACATATAGATAAAAGTGAACCATCAGTTAAGCAAAGTATATACTATTAAATATAACATCTATAGTACCGACCCTTCTAAACAAATTCGTGTTTAGTATCCGACACACCAACAAGTAGTAATCATAATTTTAAATTGCAATCTGCAACTTTAATTACAGCCATAATATTATTGTGTTAACTTCTACAACTACATCTGACCACACATGCGTTGTGAAATAAAAACCATACATCCAACTGTTGCCATTACAAATTTCATAAGACAATTTCGCTCAAGTTTTTTAAAGTATTTTCTTCAAAACCCAAAATTTTCGAACTCAAACTCATTTTACTTCTTATATAATATGAAAATTTTCAACATCAAGTGTTTTTTGAAAGTGTTTTTTTACATCATGACGGTCACAATACACATAGCAAAAACCACAGCGAACAAAATTGCGACAGTAACGTCATAATGTCCCACGGCCGTAAGTGTTTGTATGACATGTATGACTTGTATATCAGATAATTCAGACAAAGTGTGCTATAAAAAACAAAAATTACAGGTACTTAGACACAGTTAGTTGAGTATGGTACCTGGCGATTGAGAGAAGTGGGGTCATGACGTGACCAAAAGAGATCCAAGAGATTACTATAAGGACACACTTTTGGGTCAAACTGAACCCGAACCACTTCAACATGGTTAGTACTTCCCGTGCAGACCAATTTGTAGGTCGGATCCGGTGTATGACCCTGTGAATATCCAACTTCAGTTTTCACAACTCCCACAACTCGCTGAAAAGCCAGCTCCACACCCCAGAAACAACCGGCACCAAACTCAGCAAACTCGTGATCCGGGTTGTCCGGAGTATCCAAATCCGGGTCAAAAGCAGGGTTGTGGCTCCCGTCGCCGCTTTCACTCGTAGCCATTTTAGTTTCCACTACTCGTATGTGAGGGTATTAACTATAAACTGTTAATTATTGAAATGTATGTTGATATTAATATTGAATTAAATTATTGGTTGCCTTAAAAGACCAAGACAAAAGAAAAGTGAATTACACTTGTAACATTGGTTGGATTCATTCTCATATGCATTGAGGCTATTATTTGTTTACTAGTCTATTCTTGACTTTAGTGATTATGGAAAATAATTTTTTAATATTTTTTAAATTTAGAAAAATATATTGCTTTGTTATTAATCTAGTGGTTAACAAATAATCAATTAAATATTAATATTTGGAAAAGAAAGAAATAGAATAACTCTATTTAAATTTAGAATTTCTATAGAAAATATTTTTCGAGTCAAACTTGGACATTTAGAGCAGGTTTAAATTGCATTTTTAAAACAGTTTTTAATTTTCAAAAACTTAAAAACAAAAAAGAATTTGTTTGGAAGTCTTCTTTTTATTAAATGTTTATTAAACTATTTTTATCTTTTAGCTTTTAAAACTAAAAAGCAAAATTGGTTCAAAATGTTCCTGTTTTGAATTTTTTGCTTTTTATTTGAAAAGTAAAACCATGGTAACATTTTCATTAATGGCAATTATTTAATTTCTTAAATTTACAAAAAAAAAATCAAATTAATTTCAATTATGCTTTATTGCTTTTATTCTCGCGAAATCAAAATTCAACAAAACACTAAAATGTCAAGATGAACCCTAACTCTGCGATTTTAATATTGAACATGCCACTTACGACTCAGATCTAGAATCTGCAGTTTTTTTATTTCATTCAAAGCGTGTTTGTGATCTGCCACTCTGATTTCATCCAAGAACTCCATCTGCTAGAGATTCTAAATTGCTAGGTCAGTATTTCTAAATATATATATATATATATATATATATATATATATATATATATATATATTTTCGTTAAATTGAGACATGCTTTGTATACTTGTCATCATAAATTTTGGTAATTCATAAAAGAATTACAAAATCTCATAGCAAAGTATTTGGGTTTTGACACACAATTATATATGCAGACCTGACAAAAAGTGTTCTATACATACAAATCTTTCACAATTAAAAGGGTTCATCTAGTTCACATTTTATACATACTAAAAAATGACACACAATATAAACTAAAACGCATATGTCATGTGATGACAACTTTTAAGTAGTGAGCCATTGTTTACGTCAAAAATTGGTAAATAATTGTTGGTATCCTAATTAAGGGTTATTTGCAGGATCAACTAGTAAATTCTAGGTCATAGTGGCAAAATAACCTTGGTTTTTGCTTTTCTCTTGTAAAAGAGGACTATTTTTGACTTGGTCAAAATAGGGATTTAAATGACTACAAAGATGTATAAAATGTCGACTTCGACAACTTTAGGCGTGTAAATGGAAAAAATGACAATGACTGAAAATGCAAAGTGAAGTGACTTGAAAAGGATTGAATGTAAATCAATAAAGCAAAGCAAAAGTAAAATTAAAATTTTTGCATTGAGAGCAAAGGATGGTGATTCGTTACTCTTACATTTTCTCAACCATAACTCATTTCTCTAGACGCTGGTACTTTGAGTTTTGTATGAGATTTTTATAACCAAATGAACCCACCGAATGCAGCATAATAAACTCTTATATATACAAGTGATACATAAACACTCCTAACATTTCTATCTTTAGAGTTCGCCATGTGAAGCTCTGCATGCAGTTCGTCTTTGTGCTTTCTCCATGTGTCCTTCAGAAAAGAAAGTCATAAGTAGTTATTGGTATTTGAACATAGCATCTTCGCGCTCAAATAACTGCCTTTTCGACGTGTCGCAGGTGATGTGCGGTCGAGATGTTTCTGTAACATCCAAAAAACAATTAAGTCCTTGTTCCAGATGAACCAAGACTCCTTGGCGCATATCTGTTAGAAAGTATTTTGTGGTTGTGTTTTATCGTATCCACAGGGATTGATGAGAATATAGATGCTTTCCATTCAACGGTTTAATGATTTAAGAAAGGGGGTTTTTAGAATGGTTTCAATTTTCGTAACAAAAGTTTGCAAGAAATAAAGCGGAATAAAAGTTGGTCTAAGTTTGATAAAAGCATGTCAAGATTAGGGTTCGCTAGTCCGTCCTAAACGTATCTAATCGATCAAATATGTGAACGAAGTTTTAACCAACATAACAGCGTATCCTCGCAAAAACGTCCATCTCTAAAGCGATTTCGTGAATGCTATTGTTTCGACCGTTAAATGATCTCTTTAAATAACACTCGAAACAATAGTCATTAAGATCGATACAAAGTGGATATCAACTTTCAAATCTATATCTAGCATTTGTATAGTTGATAGATGAAGAAATTAGGTCAAGACTTCATGCGCTTGATAAGAAAGAGTGATTATAAGATTGTTGATCACTTACAGCAGAATCCGTCGAAAATATCCATTATGTCCTTGTTGTTGTGCTCGGAAGCGCACCAGAACGCTTTGTTGAGAATCTTGGATACAACTTATGTGCCCCAGGAGATTTCTGTGAACCAACTCGAGGGGGTTGTAGCACATGTAAATGCAGGCAATGGGCTGGGATTCGCGGATTTTGACCTGATGCCGAAGGGGAGGAACCATAACTATGCGCTGCACATATCTATTGAATGCCGAGGAGCCGTTTTGTCACACATGCTTGTTGATACAGGGTCATCCATGAATGTACTTCCGAAGAAGGCGCTGATGAAGTTAGATACCTGGGGTATATTGTGTACGCTATGTGACTTGGTAGTACGAGCTTTTGATGGGACTCGGAGGTCCATATTCGGGGAGTTGACGTTGCCAATCCAAGTTGGTCCTGACGTGTTTGATGCAGTGCTCTACATTATGGATATTCAGCCAGCTTACAGCTGTCTGCTGGGACGTCCCTGGATACATTCGGCAGGCACCGTAACGTCTATGTTGCACCAAAAGTTGAAGTATATTGTGGGTGGCAGTGTTGTCACTGTTTGCGGAGAGGAAGATATAATGATTAGTCATTTATCTTCAATCAAGTATGTCGAGGTTGACGGCGAAATCAATGAGACTCTGTGCCAGGCCTTTGAAACTGTGCAAATCAAGGATAAAGCACCGGTCATGAGTAAAGCGCCTGAAGTAGCCATGTCATCCTTCAAGGAAGCCCAGGCAGTGGTGAAGGCTGGGGAATCGCAAGGTTGGGGTCAAGTGTTGAATATCCCCAACAAGTAAGACAAATTTGGTTTGGGATACAACCCATCTTCCTCCTCCCAGAGCGCGCCACGCTATAAGGGGCCTGTCAAGTTTACCAGCGGGGGTGTAATCTTCGAGCAGATTAATGCCATATCTGATGAAGACGGTGACAACGACTATGATATGGACGCGTGGATTTGGCCGTGCACTCCAGGACAAAGCCTAAACAACTGGTCTGTCAAAGAAATCATCCAAGTAATGACAGAAGAGTAATGATTTGTTTTGCTTGATTATTGTATAACCCTATGTTCTACCCAGAGCATAGCGGTATTTGTCTTCAGGGCCCAATTGCTTATGTTTGAAAAATCGTTTTATCAATCAAAGGGCGTTTTTCTGCATCCAAATATTGTGATCCTTGTCTTTCCTATTTTATTTTTAACAATAAAATGGCGATGTGGTTTGTGCTTGTTTGCATATCATTTTAAGCATTAAATCATCATCATTGCAGGTTTCACATTGCAGATGACACCGCTCCAGAGCCGTCTATGACTCGCTTTGACTTTGATAATCCGATATTTCAAGCCAAAGAAGAAATTGATGAAGATGAAGACTTTCCAGAAGAGCTAGCTAGACTTTTGAAACAGGAAGAGAAAATCATTCTTCCTCATCAGGAGGAAGTTGAAGTCGTCAATTTGGGTACCGAGGAAGTCAGAAGAGATGTCAGGATAGGGGTTGCGTTGCAGAGTGATATCAAGCAAAGATTGGTTGAAATGCTCGTGGTTCATCGCTTGCCGTTGCGTGAAGAGTGCCCTCCAGTCAAGCAGAAGCTCAGAAGGACCATACCAGATATGGCTGTGAAAATCAAAGAGGAAGTCCATAAGCAGTTGGACGCAGGGTTTCTCGCTGTAACAACTTACCCTTCGTGGGTCGCTAACATCGTATCTGTACCAAAGAAGGACGGTAAGGTACGGATGTGTATTGATTATAGAGATTTGAATAAACCGAGCCTGAAGGACGATTTCCCGCTCCCCCACATTGACGTATTGATGGATAATACTGCACAGTATTCCATGTTTTCCTTCATGGACGGTTTTTCCAGGTATAATCAGATTAAGATGGCGCCGGAGGATATGGAGAAAACAACGTTCATTACACCGTGGGGGATGTTCTTTTATAAGGTAATGCCTTTTGGGTTGAAAAATGCAGGGGCAACCTATCAGCGGGCTATGGTCACTTTGTTTCATGATATGATTCATCACGAGATTGAGGTTTATGTTGATGACATGATAACAAAGTCGCAAACAGATGAGGAACATCTGGTAAACCTTCTGATGTTGTTCGAAAGGCTAAGGAAATTCAGACTGAGGTTGAATCCGAATAAATGCACTTTTGGGCTCAGGTCCGGAAAGTTGATGGGGTTTATTGTCAGTGAAAAAGGAATCGAGGTGGATTCTGCAAAGATAAAAGCTATTCAAGATATGCCAGCGCCGAAAACCGAAAAAGAGGTTTGTGGTTTCTTAGGTAGATTGAACTACATTGCTAGGTTGATATCTCATCTCACAGCCACATGTGAACCCATGTTCAAATTGCTAAAGAAAGATCAGGCGGTTGTCTGGAACGAAAATTGCCAAAGGGCATTTGATAAAATAAAAGAATATTTGCAGGAGCCTCCGATACTGATACCTCTAGTAGCTGGAAGACCATTGATCATGTTGTCGCTACTGCGAAAAAAAGAGGTCCATAATGACTAACAAAGTCGCCACCTATCGTTATTTATCCCAAAGAAGGGAAAGGAAACGATTGAAAA